AGAAACAAGAAATCAATAACCAGTCCATAACTCGCTTTGTTTAACTTTGGTCATGTTCCCCAAAAAACAATTCCGGATTCAAGTGATGAATAACAAAGAGTTTATTTGTGAAGTACTTTAAAAAAAAAAAGAGTTATAAAGGCCTTCACACTGCACTAAGAGTCAGACATGAATATGTACATTCAAAAATACAGAAAACTAAGATAAAGGACACTAGGGAAATTAACACAAATTATAAGTAAGAATAAATTAATAATTATCAATTGACTTGACTGGACAGATTGGAAAGAACCATAAAAAGCCAATGAGATGGAGACACACACGGCCAAATAAACAGACGTACAGGTACAGAAAGGGAAACAGCCGGAGAGATCCAGCTGTAATTATTTAGGGCTTATCATCTCTCATCTTATCAATTTTTCATTCCATTTTTATATTTTATCTGTAGGACTGGCCTGTGTTTCCACAGAAGCTGGGTCTGGTCATTTGTAGAAATTTCACGTTGTGTGGCTGCATCAGAATGAGACGATGTGCTCTTTTTGATCAGATATCCAGACGACAAAGCCAAGGTCTGAATCTCAAAAGTAAAATATTTTCCCCCATCTTATTTTGCTCATCTTGCTTTGATCACTGCTGATTTTGCATGATATTCCTTAGTGTCCCTTTACCAGCCAGTGCAGCTCACTGAGACATTTAACATGGACAGCATCAGGACAAATGTGACACCTGCTCCCAAGGCCTCAGTATAAACCATGCTGCAGTGGCTGATCAGCATATGTCGAAGTCGAGCTCCACTCTTCCATAGCTCAAGATGGGAATCTGCCATCTGTAAATTACACCACCAAAGTCGTCATCAGGGTGTCAGTCTTTACAAATGAGGTCTGCAGAGGCGGCCAGGCCCGCACACAATCTGGAATCACCTCTATTTGTTGCTAAGTGCAAGGATAATGGAAGTAGATGACTGTCTTCCTCAGCACTTGTTTTTGTGTCTCATGAGTGGATGCGGGAGAGGAGGAGGAGGAGGATTCAAGGCCTTGAGAAGGAGGCTGTGAATTTTGACTTTATCTTGTTTCTCTCCACCCTACCTGTGAAAAGAGGGAGGGACTGAGGGTGGAGGTAGAAACGTGAGGGAAAAGATAAATGGAAGAAGCATCAAGAAGAGTTTAAAAAACAGAATCACAAGCAGAAGTTAAAAGAAAAAAGGATTCTCCGTAAAATTACCCATTTTTCTTATTTACCACCTGGGAACAGATGATGTTTTCTTTTCACCATTTCATGACATTTTGCAGTTGACAATGAAAATAATTACTCTAATTTCAATAAGAGGGGTAATTTTGATATTTAATCTGGTATAAATCAGAATGAATACAGGCATAAAAATAGTATTATCATAAGGACATCATTATGCTACTAGGTACTCATTGCAATACAGAAGCAAACAATACACCCACAGCAATAAAATGGTGGATATTAATAAATCTATTTTCTTAACAAGACAGCATTATGCTACATTAATAGATCCAGCACTAACATTGAAACTAAGTATGGAATACCAAAGGACTACACTGCGACTGAAGTGGCCTTGGTATTTTGTTCAAATACCAATTACAGTTTGTTTTGTAATTTGTCCTTTGATATGTGTCATTGACGTCAAGAGCCAAGAGCCTCCATGCTACCACGGTAACGAGTTCTGTGTTCTGTGCACATCAAGTAGAAATGAGAAACCAGGGGGTCATTACGAGTTTCAATGGCTTGTGCCACCACATGAGGCCCCATGATTCACGGCGCTCTGAATATACACTGCCGCTTTTGTAGGTCCTTCACACCAACTGCCTTCCTTGAAATTGTTACAGGCACCTGTTCAGACACACTCTAATATTGATTAAGCTATTTGTGTGTTCAAAACAGAATTCAAAATGGTTTACTCACAAGAAGTCAGGAAAAGCAGTAAGGAGCCCTTCTGGGTTGTTACTGTTTAACATCGTTGTATTGTAATTGGATAAAATCACATTACACACGCTTTCCTTCAGTCCTTCTTTGCCTATTAGACAGCTGACATTTGAAGTCCCGCTGGACCATGTTCAAACTCCGGGGTTAAGCTTCATCACACTATTGAGAGCCATGGTGTATCTCCTGTCAGAAAATCATTAGTAAGCGGGCTTCTTCAGCACATTGGGATTTTTCTGAACCATTCTTGTGATTTGAAACCTTGAGAATTCCTTCTTTGAAATAGCTGAAAGCAATTATGTGCTTAGGATGGGAGATGACTGAATAGGGTGGGAGGTGGGACCACTAACATTTGATTTGGAGACTACTTTGAAGTAAAAAACGGGGAGTCATTGCTGCTACAAAAGCTTGTAGAGTGTGTGTGTGTGTGTGTGTGTGTGTGTGTGTATCTGGACATGTGCACTGAGTGAACAGTGCCTTTTCCCCTCTTATATAAATGACTCAAAGTGTAAAAGAAGTTTTATCCTTTCAGTCTTAAACTGAAAAAGAGCCTCTGCTTTAATCTTGCAGACCACAGCAGACTCTGGCTTTAAGGTCACATGGGGACCAGATCAGCCACTGGAGCTCTGCTACTCCTGTCATAAAAATGTAATAGAGGGAAGCCACAGTAATTACAAATATCTGATATAATGCTCATGTTTTTTCATTACCTTGGACCTGTCTGAATATTTTTGATAAGTCTCTATAATTGAGAGATCAAATATGATGAAGACAAAAACCCTTAGAATATAGATGATCAGTTAGTCTACTTATTATTTTCTTGATTAATTGACTGATTGTTTTGTCTGTAAAATAGTGAAAACTGTCTACCACCATTTCCCATGAGCACATGACATGTTTAAAATGTAAATTAGTTTTGTCCAACAGTCCAAAGATATAGAAATAGATATAAAACAGAAAATAATGTAAGGTGACTGAAACAGCAAAAGTAAAGATTGCTTTTATTGTCTCCTGAATAAGAAAATTGTCTTCGACTGAAGGAATTGCTGCAAAAGAAAAGTCTCAATACACATGAATAAATAATCAGTTTGTGCTTAAGCAGTGGGAAACTTTTTATCAGGATTCATCAGCTCAACACGGAGATGTCAGATAATCCTAATGGCCTGTTAGTTGGCAATTAATCAATTATCAAATTAATTGTATGTCAACATACTTATCATTCAAGCTGGTCAAGCAAGTCAAGATATCTTTTCCATCTGACATTTAGTATAGCTATATCTAGTTAACTGGTCAGTATCTAACTTTAAACTGCTTCAACTCGATGCTGTATATGAAACGCGTCCAGCTGTCGGTTATCAATAACTTTGTGCACCTCCATCAGCTCTCCTCCTGATTGATCTGTTTCCCTCCAACTAAAACAACACTCTGAAGGTTTCCTGTACTTTCTTGACATTGTTTTGATTAATTATCAGGCAGTAAAAAAATCCACTGTGATTGATCAGTCACTGCCACCTGCTGAGCTGAGTCAGCCACATCTGAAAGCTTCTCATCTCCTGATTAATTTAGTTAATAGGTGAAGGACTAAATAATAGCTGCTTTTGTTAAATAAATTGCTTCTGACGTGGGCAATAGCACTTTTCACCGTTTTCCTGGAAGAAAATGTTTTATTTAATAAGAGTGTACTAATGCACCACACAGAATCTATCCCAATCCCTCCCATATTTGATAGCTGCCTTTTCTCAGAAGCAACATTAAGCTGGAGTTTTTTCTTACGTGCTAAAATTCAAATTGGTTTGGCTTTTTTTATATTGTCTCCAAAGTCATTATCTCCAGCCTAGAACCAGCTTCTGTATTCATCTGCTCTCAGCTCACCTGAACCAGCGGTGAATCTTACAGAAACTCAGAAACTTTTCCATCCAACTAATCAATAAATAATCATTCTCACATATTGAAAGGGAACAACTACTGTCCAGATGATGATGATGATGATGTAGCAGAATAACACCTTAAATTCAGATAAAATTCAATTTGATTTTAAAAACAAACTGTAACACTTAAGTTCCAAGAAATTGCTTAAAATGTTTCACCTTTGTAATATTTTACTTTATCATACAACTGTGAAAAAATGTGAGTGGTGACTCTATCTTTCAACACTCAGTGGGCCTTGGATAAATACAGTACAATTAAAGTTGTTAACAAATGAATAGATTATGTCCACAGAAAGAGCTTTTAATCCATATGAGATACTGGAGGTGTTAAAAAAAGAGTTAAAAAAATTATTGAAAATGTAGTGGAGGGTGTATAAGTTTCTGGCATAATGTCGATATCAATATGAAAAGGATCATTTTCTATTATATTTTTGCTGGGAAAGGCTCACAGCTTATGGAAAGAATAGGCGAGTCTTCTGCTCTTTAGTGAATCACCACTGCTCCAACCTGTTAACATGAGCAGTGTGTCCAGGGTGGGATTATCTTGAGTCTTTGTTACCTTTTTTTTCTCCTCAGTTTTTTTATTCTTATTATGGTTCTGTACTGATTGAATGTCAAGTGGATACCTGTAAAACTTGGCTTCCTCTCGTATAAAACACTACAGAGAATCCCAATGCAAGCAAAATCTTTATTTTTCCTAAAATAAAGTAACTAAATGTTGCTCAAAATTATGCAACACTAGACCTGTCAGTGGTGACTCACAATAATGACTTAAAAAAGTCCAAAATATCAATGTGCTGCTCACCATAGAGAACCTTCCTGAATGTTTGTCATGTAGACAAAACATGAGCTCAACAAAAGCTTGGAGGACTGTGACTTGTAGCCTATCTCTCTGCTTTTATCTATCTCAAATATTTGAAGCAAACAGCACTGGCTCCTGATTTCCCCAACAAGCAGATTCTGTTTGAGGGATCACTGTGACCCTGGCCTGAGAAATTCTGGTAATGGCTATTAGCGCAAATAAATATGTTTGCATACACTGAACTGAGCATCTGTTCCTATCCCTCCCTCTTGTCTCCTCCTCTGTCTGTCTCTTTTCCTCTTTACTCACCTCCTCCTGTGCAGGTTCACCTGTTGAAGGACCAGCTGAGTGCGGAGGCCACGGCTCGGCTGGAGGCCCAGGCTCGAGTCCACCAGCTGCTGCTCCAGAACAAAGACCTGCTGCAGCACATCTCCCTGCTGGTTAAACAGATCCAGGAGCTGGAGACCAAGATGTCTGGACCCAACTCCAGTGAGTAGATCAAATACGAGGCTCACACGCTTACATGCTGTAAGCTGGAGGTTATATACATTAATGCACACCTGCTCACATGTACAAAGTGCATGTACAGTGTGTACAGCTGCAGAGAAACAGACACACTTTTATGTTTTATATGAAGACATGAATTTTGTATATTGTGGACAGGATAGAACGAGATAAACAGAGGACAAGAGACAAAACAATATGTTTGAAAGACACACTGTAATAGACCTGACATCACTAATCAGCCTGCTTTACCTGACACCACCAGCCTTCTGATCCTCAGTAAAGGCAAAGAAAAACCTAGGAAACAATATGGATGAAACCTTGAATCCAACGTGAGTAGGATTCTGAATCCCACAGAAAAATATGCAAAAGGTACTCTGACAAAAACAATAAAATGGACAATGAAGGTGAGAAAAAAGAAATGAAAAATGGACATGACTGAGGAATAAAGATGGTAATTTAACATTTTATGCCACCACCTCTACTGTAGGTCAACACACACACACACGCCTGTCAGTTAAAATCCTCCCATGTGACAGTGCAAACATCCCACATACCGAGAGAGCAGACATTTCCAGCTCTGTATACACCCCGAGTGAGTGCACTGCAGACCTAGACAGGCTTCTAAATGTAAATTCCAGTATGAGACTGGATTCTGTTGTCATATCGACCCCTCGCCGCCCTGTTTAACATGCACCACACACATTCTGTCGCTGTTCTTTCGCCTACAACCCCCTCTGTCCTCTCTGTCACTCTGCCCACAACTTCACATATTGTTAAGCCTGTTCATCAGTTATTCAGACAATCTTCTCTGCGCTATCACAGTCCAGTCTGCCCTCCAATCGTCACCCTGCGAGAAACAGTCTTTTATCTGATCAGCCAACATTTCAGGTATTCAGTAGGGAAAGTATTTTCTCATATGCACCTCTGCATGTTGGACGTTTGAAAGGGACCTCATTTCCCACAAGGTCAACAAACTCTTCTATGGTAAGAAAAATAGATCTTAAATGGACATGAAATAGTATTTTAAGCACAATTAAATCCAATGGTCAGATATTTTAACAACTTTATGGAAACAGACCTTTCTCATGACACTGACTTGAACACAGGTACATGACTAATAACATTAATTATGGCTGTATAGTGCGTCAGTTTCAGCGTGGTGGGATTACATGCTGGCTCACTAGCATGACTTATTGACACACCTGAATGGAAAGGAGCCATCATTAATGTTATTAGTTACACACCTGTCATTTTCACGCTATCACAAGCGAAAATGTCCACCATGAGAAAGGTCTATTTCACAGCATTTGTACCTCATTTAGTACAATTCTACAACATGAAACATGGTCTGGTTGTAGATGAAAAGAGGTGGGGAACCCATGCAGGAGGTTTAAGCCCAGTTCATTGCTTGAAAGCCTACACGTTTTTCTTTAGGACTATCCAATACTCACCTTCTGTAGGCTTGAAAAGTGGCTCTGAAAAAAATTTTGTTTGCCTTATAGCATAGAACAGCTGGAGTTAAAAGGTACTGTGGTGTCATGGCAAAGAAAACATTCAATACTATTGTAAATATAGTTCACAGGATTTTGTTTTAAACCAGTCTGCTAATGATCTGTATGTCCTGCATTTTTATAATGCTGCCAAAGTGCTTTATAATTTGCCTCTCATTCGGCCATTTACACACCAATGGTGGTGAGATATGAAGGTGCCTGACCATCGGGAGCTCTTTGGGGTTCAGTGTCTTGCCCAAGGTCACTTCAGCATGTGGACAGGAGGAGCTGGCGATTGAATCACCAACCCTGAGATAAGTGGACAACCCACTCCCCTCCTCAACCACAGCGTAACAGTCTTTGTAGCATTTATCATATAAGACTAAAAATGAGCCCAGCTGCAGTTCATGTGATTTGCACTGAGTGCTGCTAAATGAGAGCTGATGCTGGGCTGTTTTGATGCTTGTTGTCTGGAAAGAAAGTGTATTCTGCTGCAACAGTGAATTCATCCTGCAAAAGAAAGGCTGCATGTGAGGAAATATTACATGGCTTGATGTTGTCAGCTCAACAGAAGGATCAGTGATTGAATGACTAAAAAATTAGATTTGTGGTAAAACTGCTTTAAACTGCTTTGACTAGATTATGTCAACAAACATTAAAATAATACAACGGTTTAAGTATTACAGCTTCAGTCATATCACACTGAACAAGAGCTGCTTGAGCCATTAAAAGTCAGTTAAAACATAGCAGAAGGCAACTGCAGGGAAGAGAAAGGTAAAGTTGTGTTATTAATAACAGTTTGTTGCGTTACTGCTCTTTAGTCTTGTGTTATGGTGCTGAGTGGAGAGCCACAGTAAAGTAAGGCAGCGTTTCCACCGACTTGATCCTTTTGCGTGAAAAAACACAGGCCTCTTATTCATTTGAATGGAGGCAGTACATTGGCAGCAGGGTTGACCTGCAAAAAGGTTGAACCTGGCTCAACTTTTCAGCTTCAGCACAACGTCATCCGGCAAGTATTTCCACTGTCTGGACTTCAAGACGAAAGACAAAGCAGTTGCATGGAAGTTCAAAGAGTTGTAAAATCCTGTCTGTGAGTTTTTACAAACCATTGTCCGCTGATTTGCCTTTAAATTAAGTAAACTGTTACTGTATAACTGTATCTTAAACAACATGCCTCCATCATCGCAGCCCCCTGCACAGTTTTAACACAGCTGTTTTCAATCTGAATCCCCACTAACTTTGTAATGCATCTTTTAATTTGTGTTTCTCTCACATGCAGTGTTTCACCTATTGTCTTTCACACTTCATGTGGGTGTGATCAAACAGTGCCACAGATTTTACACAAGCTTTTCCCAGACTTTAAATTTCAGACGCACAACAGAGAGGAAGTAGATTATTCTGCAGGAGTGAGAAGTTTCTCTGGATGTTATGATAGATAGATACAACAACTACAAACTTTTTAGAGTCATCTTTCAGATGGGCAGGTTAGTACTGATACTGAGTATTCCTTTAATGTATCTTTCTCTCAGTTGTTGAGCTGCAGGTCTGTTTTCTCTGCCCATAACGAAAGAAGAAGCAAAACATGTTTCACTGAGCAGCCCTTATGATGATGAAATGCTTTGAAACATGTTTTTTTTTCCTTTTCTTGCTTACCCAATCTAAAACCACATTGATTTATTGGTAACTGAGTGATTGATTTTGTTAGAATTTTCGAGGAGTGGTAATCTGCTCTCCGCCACAATTCACAGATATCTATATCACATTTGTTATTTTTCTGCTGTGATCCAGCGGGAGGGGTGATAGCAGATGAATTTAAATCAAGGAACAGAGCAACTCTTGACTGTGGTATAAAATATTTGATCTGCCCTTTATTTCTTGTCTCTCCATCTGCTCGTTCATCACTTTCCAATCCCTTCCCTCTTTTATACCTTTTCTCCTCCCTCCAGTGGGATCTCAGGACAGTTTACTGGAGATCACCTTCCGGTCTACGGTGCCCTCAGTGATGTGCGACCCCACGACGCCTAAATCCGAGGTGTCCGCCATCAACCTGCCCGCGCTCTGCACCACCGACGGGACCAGCAACGCCTTCTCATCTTCCAATGGGAATCTGGGAAGCCCCCTAGGTAGGGACCAGTGTCTTCTTAAACTGGAGTGTTTCCGTTTCCTCCCGGGGCCTCCGCCTCCTCACCTCCCCTCGTCTCCCCCACTGCTCAAGGCTAACCAGCCAGAGAGCAAAGGTCAAGAGCTGTCTGAGGCAAAGTTGTTGTCCCGTGACGTCAAATCTCTGGGCTTCCTGGACTTTGCCAGGTTCCGCGAGTCAGGTATCGCCTCAGAGTACGAGTCGAACACCGACGACAGCGATGAGGATGAGGGGGAGGACGATGAGGAGGGGATGGATATCTTTGGCTGGGGGACGGACGAGGAGACGCTGAGGCTGCTTAATGTTCTCAACAGACAGGGAACTCCTGACTGTCTGGGAGATGAAATAGCGGTGTAACACACAAACCTGCTCCCCTGACGAATCCTGTCCAGATAAATAGCCATGACTTGTTTTTGTCCCTTCACTTCAGACTACTGTGTAGGAATAACCATGTAGAGAACTAACCTCCATCAGATGTGCACAATTATATATACAAGGCTTACACCATGTATTGGTGATGATGTGATTGCAGTTGCATACGAGAGAAAGGAAAGACTCCAATAGATACATAAATAAAAGCGACTTTACTGTAGGTGGGAAGAACTGAGGTGCAGACAACTCAAGTAGCCCCGATGTGGTCAAACTACATATCACGGTCTTGTTCGGCTAGGATCCTGAACATATCAGTCACTGATGACATTTATTTATTTATTCATTTATTGCACAGAATAAGTTATTGTAATAACATTCCCCCTCCCTCTAGTGTGTCTGCTTTGACATACTTCTCGTAAATAATATCTATATATATATATATATTTGATTTATCAAATTATTTATTTACTATTACTATGTTGTATCAGTCTTGGATCGGGGCTCCAGCTTGAGTTAAAAAGGTTTCAGCTTGAGCCGAAAATGTGTCCTGATCCATCATTTAGAGCTCTATGAATGTAGAGAGGTACCAGAGGAGACGGGGGTTCTCGTTTTAGGGTCAGTACAAACCGTAACACTCACTCAGAGAGTCAGTGCATGTCGTCAGCTAGGGCGTCCGTCTGTAACCGTCACACCTGTTGTCTGTTTGCTGCCTATACCTATGTAGTTTATTTGCATTCAAATTTTAAAGTAGACAAATATTCAAATAATCGCGTCACATTCACAGTCTTAACTCCCTTTACAAATATTAGCATCACCTTAAGTGTCCCACATTGGTCACACCTGTAATACGTCTCTCTGCGTGCATCTAATCTCTAATCTTTATGCATAGTCATGTATATACACTATTACTTACAATCCTTTGCTTATTTTCCTTCCTTTACTTTTTCCTCTTTTCTTGATTACACACACAGAGATCTTATCCATATAACACACACACTTCCAAACCCCCCCCCCCTTCAGCTCTCTGTTGCTATGTTTCTGGAGCTCTATAACAAAATCAGGGAGTTTACCTTAAAAATATTTCCTCCTTTCAAAACTTTTAAATTGTAAGTTAGTCTGTCTTTATCAGAAATATGTCAGGATGTAATATGAAGTCAGAACCAAAAGGTTAGTTCAGGGGCAAGCTTTCAATTTATCAGGATTGGGAGTGTAGCTGTCAGTCATTCCGGCAGGATCGAGACAGAGTTTGGGACTGGACAGACTGATGAGCTCTTGTCCTTGCTGGAGTGAAAAGTGACTCTTCTGCTGAGCAAAGATGAACACTTACAGCCAAATCCGGGGAGGAACTTTATTACTGTCTCTACGTTTGGAGAGGGAAAGTCCTTTCTTCCTCAGCTCATAATTAATCAAAGACTATTTTTAGACAAAAAATCTGTGTCTGTACTGTATGTACAAACTTTGTTTTCTACGTCATCCCACAGTCAACTGTTGAACTGATCTGTCCTTGACTTCCGTGGGCCGCCCTCTTTTTGTCTCCTCACAATTTGTTGACTTGGTAGTCAGAGCATGTTTGCACTCTTCTCACTTGTCCACACATTTCCTCGCTTTTTAATTTATGTAAAGCCGGGATTAGTTGGACCTCGAGGAACACTGTTTGTTTCTTTTATTCATCCCGTAAACAAAAACTCCTCGCTCGTGCCAGAACAGCAGCTCACGGATGACAGCCAAAAGTGGTCTCGTTTGTTTAAACCCAGCTCTGTGTATGGCATCCAAGCACAATGCCGTATTAAAGTGTTCATTTTGTTTCATGAGTAAAAAGCCACAGGGTTTCCTTTTACGCATTGTAGCCCCAGTTTATCAGAGTACTGCTGTCAAATCAGTGCAGACAGGCCAGTATTTGGCAAAGGTAGATGCTGTAGAGATTTAAAGGGGAACCGGGCTAATTCTCAGTGTGCTCACTATCTTTTGCAAAGAGCTTTAGCCTGATATGATCAAACCAATCTAGTGTCCAGTAAAGTAACTCCCAGTTAGCCACTCAGTTTCTGAAGCTGTTTGTATGAAAGGATAACAGAGATTTAGATTCTGAGATGTTTTTTCTCTGAAAGTTTGTTTGGGAATTTGTACCAACTTTGCTGAATCTATGTCTGTAAAGTGTGTTGGGGCCAGTGGTTCTATAACAAACTACTCAGACACAAATGAGGACCATTTGCTATTTAATCCCAGGTTGAAATCTTCATGGGTCCAAACTTTGGACCTGATCCCAAATGAATGTTGGGAAAACCTTCAGAATGCATAAAATTAATTTTAAAAAACAAATAAACGAAAGACCCAATCTAAGAGAGGCTCAAGTATATTTAAATTTGATCCAAAATGCCGGCACCCCGAACAGACAGAACCTAACATAACACCGGCAGCAGCATGAGGCTCCACAGATTACGAGCAGCCACCACCAAAAAGAGTGGAAAAGCCTCAAAAACATGTTTTATCCAGTAATGATAATGATGCCCCATCTGATCAGGGATGGTAGCAAGTCCGCTTGGATCCTCTTGAGTGTTAGATGTATCATGACACAGACCTGCAGCGGTAAAAGAGGAACCTACCCTGATGAGAATAGGCTGCAAATGGTTTTGATTTGGCCCAACTCGGGTCCCATGTTTGGTTCTGGCAGGTGCAACTGTGAAGATCTCTAGTCCCAGGTACCCTGAGGAAAAGATTGTACTTGCTGATTTTGGGTTAAATGTCCATTCTTTATATGATCTTTATTACAGAAATAACAGGAATTGAGGGATGAGAAGGACAGAGAATGACATGCAACAAAGGTCCCAGGCTGAATTTGCACCCCAATCCAAATGAGTAGAAAACATCTGCTCATTTAAATTGAAACTAAACTAAACATTTGCCAGAAATTACCTCAGGCATACTCAAAAATTTCCCAACCCTTCAACCACTGACACCCACTGCTCTCTGTGCTTTCTTTCTTTGTTTCTCTTGTCATCAGTGACAGTTTGTTAGTTTCCCTGAAGTGCTCGCTTGACCCAGGTCATAGGAAAGAGATGTGAGTCAAACTGGGAACAGTATGAAGGATGTCCTGTCTGTTTGACTCCCTCTCCTCCACGTCTTTTTGCTTTTCTTGTCTCATCATCTACCCTTTTCCGACTCTTCTTTTTTTCCTAAAAATGCTTTTTCTAATATGACAACTGTGACATCAACCCATGAAAATCATACTTGTGCTCCTTTTCAAGATGCAGAATTCCAGGTGACAGGCTGTCAGACTACTCACCATCAGGGCAAAAGATAAGAAAGGAGTTCACAGACATTAGACGAACGTTTCATCTCGAGTCATTCCAGCAACTCATGCAATCAACGCCAGATATTATGATAATTTAAAATCTAATGAAACAGCCCTTGAAAATATATTCAGACCTGTTGCAATAAATTGTCAGTTAAATACATCTCCACACTGATATTGCAATCATTCCAAAAGGTGAGCCCATCTCATGATTCAATAATCACATTTAATCAAAGAACGTATTGATGAAATTACATCAATATCAGGTTCAATCACATTTTTGATTTATGCAGAGAGAGGTTACCTGGAAGCTTCGGGACAAGGATGTGTCTGCAGAACAGACATTATGAAAGTAATAGCATGAAGGAGTTATCATTTAGTTATTTTATTTCAAATCACTTATGTCCTCTCACTTGTGCCCTCAAACCACAACTGCGACCATTTAAAATAGAGTAATGTAGAGAGAAAGTCTGTGGTGTCTGAGAATATCTAGTGGCTACACAGCACTCGTGATGAGTTGTCATCCCTCGTGAGGTTGAGGAGGTTGGTGCTCGTACAGTAAAGAAGCCGTCAATCAGTTGTTTCAAATACCTGTCAAATTTGAATTTGAATATACACATAGAATGAAGCAGTTAATAAGTAAGGCATAACACCCTACAAGGCAATTGTAATGGATGACTTACTTTTTGCACAATAACACTACCTTTCAGTTTCAGTGAACGTTGTTTAAATCTTTGTATCTATAGAAGGCCAGGTAAAGTTTCATATCGTATTTTCTTTTTATTTCTGTTCCTTTAAGGACTATGTCATAAGTATAGAAATACAACAAAGAGTACAAACTCTGCTTTCTGTTTCTGGATCTTACCCTCATGTTATTGCCATGTCTTAACTTGCATGTCTTTATTCTGAAATCTGTGTTTTCTGTTGCAGGCTGATCTTGACACTTTTTTCTATTCTAGCCTCTGGGGTAAATACTCTTGGTTCTCTCTCTTGGCCTTCCCTTTTAATATCATTTATATTTCTCTCATGTGTCTGACTTTAACCTTATTCTTCTGACATCTCTTGAACTGAGCTCTTCCTCCAACTTCTCCAATATGCCAGACATGCTGTATTTCTAAACGGTCTCTTGTTGCTGATTTATCTATTAGCGATTCATGTTGTGTGGTTGCAGAAATAAGTACAGCCCCCGGCCTTTTACCTTGACAGAGACGGTGGAGGTCAGTAAACCCCAGGTGAAGGACCTGTGGTGCAAAAGTAGTTGCAAGGAGCAGCTTCTCAGAAAATGTTATTGTACTATTATTAACCTTCATGGTTTGAGGTGA